GCGGGTTCGAGACCTGCCTGGGCAGCGAGACCTCATCCCTACAATAAATCAAAAATCAGCCGGGCGTGGTAGTGCATGCCTGTAATTCTGGCTACTCGGCAGGCTGAGGTGGAAGGATCACCAGAGCCCAGTGGGTCGAGGCTGCGGTGGCTGGGATCGGCCACTGCACTCCAGTCTGGGCGATGGAGTGAAACTCCAACTCAAAAAAAAAAAAAGGTTAAAATGGCACATTTTTGCGTCATATGTTTTGTCGCAATAAACATTTGTTTTAAGAACTGGACACAGTGGCTCATGCCTGTAATCCCAGCACTTTGGGAGGACAAGGCAGGCAAATTGTTTGAGCCAGAATTTTGAGACCAGCCTAGGCAACATAGCGAGACCTTGTCTCTACAAAATTTTTCAAAAAATAAAAAAATTATTTGGATGTGGGCGTGTGCGCCTATAATTCCAGCTACCCAGGTGGCCGCAGCGGAGGGTTTGCCTCAGCCCAGCAGGTCTGGGCTGAGGTGGGCCATGATCTTGCCACTGCACTCCAGCCTGGGCGACATAGCGAGATCCCGACTCAAAAAAGAAAACTTGTTTGAAGATAAAGGCAAGGGAGTGTGCTCAGCTGTTTGTGGGGGACAGCGGGAGCCCCACGAGGAGGTGACAGGTGAGGGGGGAAAGGTCGTGAGGAAGCATCAGAGGGAATGGCCTCAGGTCGAGTGGAAGGGTCCGAGTGCAAGACCCTTGTCCCCTGCAACGGCAGCCCCAGGTGTAGCCAGCAAGGAGGTGAGGCTGGGAGGACCACGGGCCTGCTGGAGTAGACCTCTCAGGCCACTCCCAGACCTCTTACCCCGAGGGGGGTGGGACCTTCTGGGACTGGAGGCCCCCAGGAACTTGGGTGGAGGTCTTGCTCCTTTGGGAATTTTTGGGTGGTGACAGAGCTTGTGTCTGCAGAATGCTCATGGTGGGACCCCCGTCCTGTGGTTCCGATGCGGACCTCCAGGTGGTGCCCCGCCTCCACCTGGCCCCCCTCCTCCCGGTGCCATCAGCACCCAAGCAGAGGGCAGGGTTTTCCACCAGGGAGACTGCCTAGATTCACATCCGGCTCCGAAATTTCCCACCGGTGAGACTGGGCAGACCACTTAATTGCTTTGAGCCTGCCTGGTAGATTAGTCCTCACCTGTCAGGGAAGTATGGCGAGGATCAAATGAGGCCTTGTAGAGGAAGCGTCGCCCTGGGAGATGTTGAAGTGGTGACCGTGCACCTTAAACCGGGCCCTGGGGACACAGTGGTGGACAGGAGGGACGAGGCCCAGCCCTCACGGCACTCGTGGTCTACGTGGGGAGGCAGATGCGAGATCCCTGCGAGGGCGGGATGAGCTCACCCCCACCCCGTCTGGGTCAGGGAGGCCCCTGAGGGAGGGAGTGCCCTGGAGAATAGGCCAAAGAGAGGCGTGCGAGACAAGGAACAGCATTATGGATGTCCGTGGGGGGCTGAACCAGGGAATGTTCTAGAACATGGGAGTCGACGGGGGGTGGGACAGGGTGCAGAGTGGCCAGCCTCTACAAGGTGAGAAGGTGACTTAACTGGGGCAGGGTATGGGCCACAGGGCCTCTAGCTATGGTGGAGAATTTGGGCTGTGGGGGCTGCGAAGGGTTTTGAACAAGAGCACAGCTGGGAACGGGAATGAGTGAGATGCAATCGGAGGCTGCAGCCACCCTCCAGGCGGTGGAGGCCGTGGCTCCTGCATCCTGAGCTTGTCTTCTCTCTAGGAAGCGGAGAAGGGCTCTGCAGTCCCAGCCCCTTGGAATGCAGCCCCGGGTCCCAGCCACCATCACCAGGACCTGCCACCTCCCCGGCGCCTCCAGACCTGGACCCCGAGGCAGTGCGCGGGGCCCTCCGGGAGTTCCTACAGGAACTGCGGGGTGCCCAGAGGGAGCGGGTGAGCCTGGGCACAAGGGGCTGGAAGGGGAGCGGGTGGCTGAGGGCCCTGGAGGGGCTGCAGTGTCAGAGCAGGGGTCTTCTTTTCCTCCACCCCCGGCGGGGCTGCAGGATGAGCTTCGGACCCAGACGAGTGTCCTGAGTCGCCAGCTGGCCGAGATGGAGGCTGAGAGGGACAGTGCAACCACACGGGCCCGGCAGCTGCAGAAGGCAGTGGCCGAGAGCGAGGAGGGTGAGTTAGACTCTCAGGGCCCCTGCTCAGCTCTCGTGTGTTCAGAATAGCTGGAGTGGGAGCCTGGGGGAATGGGCTTGTGTCCCTGCCCTGGCCCCTGTGACCTGACTCGGGGCTGTCTCCTCCATGGACCCTCCCTGGTCAGCCTCACTCATGTCCAGACCCACACACCCTCAAGAGTGTAGACAAGCAGCCGGGCTCAGTGGCTCAGCCTATAATCCCAGAGATTTGGGAGGCCTAGGTTGGAGGATCACTTGAAGCCAGGAGTTTGAGACCAGCGTGGGCAACATGAAATCTACCCAAAAAATAGCTAAAAAATTATCTGGGCATGGTAGACTGCATATGTAGTCGCAGCTACCCGGGAGACTGAGGCAGGAGGATTGCTTGAGCCCAGGAGTTTGAGGCTAGAGTAAGCTGTGATTGTTCACTGCACGCCAACCTGGGCAACAGAGAAAGACCCTGTCTGGAAAAAGAAAAAAGAGGAGATGTGGACAGTCTGGCTCTGTGGGGGTGGAGTGCAGGCCAGGCGTTTTGTGGCCTGGTTCGGGTCTCGCCGTGCCTGGCCCTGCCTGACGGGACCGTGGCTGTGTTGTGGCTGCAGCCCGGCGCAGCATGGACGGGCGACTGAGCGGGGCCCAGGCAGAGCTGGCCCTGCAAGAGGAGAGTGTGAGGCGCAGCGAGCGGGAGCGCCGGGCCATGCTGGACCAGGTGGCGGCGCTGGAGAGGAGCCTGCAGGCCACCGAGAGTGAGCTCCGGGCCAGCCAGGTGGGCAGAGCTGGGGCCGGCAGGGCCGAGGGGCGGTCTGTGCACCCGGTGGGGGTCTGAGTCCTGCCCTGGGTCCCTGTGTCTGAAGCACCAGCCTGTGGCTCTGCAAAAGCCTGCTTAGATCCATCGTCTCGTGTCGCTTGTGGTTACCAGGCTGTAGAAAAAAGAGCCAGACAGACCTGGTGGGTTCAAGTCCTGGCTCTGCCGCCTGCTGGTCTAAGTCTGGTCTGTTTGGTTCTCGTGTTCCTTATCTGTGAAGGGGGGACCAGTAACTGCGCCCCGTGAGCTTTTCGTGCATGGGGGTGCTTGGGGCCTCTGACTTGTGCCTCTGAATAACGACGTACACGGTGCTCTGGGTGTTCCTGTGTTTGGGTGATATCTATGCGTGCCTGCGTGTGTGTCTGTGTGTCGGGGCCGCACACACAGGTCCTGGTGGGGACCGTCCAGGCTGCCTTGACCCTCCTTGTGGCCCAAGACCCTCCCCCGCCCCCTCCTCCCAGGCCTCCACTGCTCCCTGCATCCTCCCCCTGCCTCTGGCTCCGGCGGCTTAGCTGGGTTGTTGTGTCTGTGGCTTCAGCTCTGGCCTTGGGCCCAGCTGCAGGGGCTGCGGGGGGCGGAGGCCAAGAACAAAGCTGGGCAAGAGCCAGAGTGGGGGCCTGGGCCAGACAGGGCAGGGCTGGGGCTCCGAGCACACTGGCAGAGGGGCTGGGCGCTGGTGGGGGCTGGGAGGCTATGGCCACACCTCCAGCCCACCCTGACCCAGAATAGTAATGTGGACTGGAGGACCCCTGGTCTACCTTCCTGTTGTTCCCCCCATCCCCCGTTGCCCCCAATCCCCACTGTCTGACGCTGTGCTGGGAGGGGAGTCATCCCCTGAGACCCTGGAGCCATAGGGCTCAGCCAGACTGTCCTGGCTCAGGTTGCACCTGCGCTTTGGGGCCACTCCTGGGGGGAGTCAGCAGACAAGGGCAGGCCCCGGAGTCTGTGTCCTCACAGCCCTTCCCCAGGCTCCTAAGAGCACCCCGGCTGGTGTCCCTGGGCCAATCCGATGGCTCCCTGCTATAGGTGGACACAGTGTCGGGCAGCAGGATGGGCTCGCCCTGGGCCACACGGCCCGTCAGCCTCTGCCGGAACCGGACGGCGCTCTGGGATTCTCTTGTTCACTCATCCTGTGAACACGTGGGGAGACCGAGGCTGGCCCCCGGCCACACACGGCCCTTTCTCCTGAGGGTCCCGAGGCCATGGGAGAGGGGTGTGGGCAGACTGGTCACCCGGCCTGTGCCCCGCCCCTTGCAGGAGAAGATCAGCAGGATGAAGGCCAGCGAGGAGAAGCTGGAGGGCGACAAGCGGCGCCTGAAGGAGGTGCTGGACGCCTCGGAGAGCCGCACGGTCAAGCTCGAGCTGCAGCGGCGCTCACTCGAGGGGGAGCTGCAGCGCAGCCGCCTGGGCCTGGGCGACCGCGAGGCGCAGGCCCAGGTCCTCCAGGACCGGGTGGACTCCCTGCAGAGACAGGTGGGCTCTCCCCCACTCACAGCCACAGCACCTGTGTGACCCGTGTCAGGTGGGGACTGTGCATTCCCCCCCAACGGGGCAGGTAGGATCATCCCCATTTCACAGAGGGATAAATGGAAGCTGAGGTGACACCATTGTCCAAGATCACATAGCTAATAAGAGGCAGAGCCACAGTTAGAACTCAGGACTATTTGATGATAGAATCTGCACTCATAGGAGTCATGTGGGACAAGTTAGAGATGTAAATGTTCACTCCTTTCCCTCTTTGCCTTGGCTCCTGGGAAGCTCAGTTCTAACTGGAATGTTCAGTAACTCTGCTAGCCCTGAATGGACTCCCCCCACAGTTCAAAGTGGAAGACTTCAGGGTTGTGGCGGTTACCCTTTCTCTTCCATAGCAGGGAGGAGGGGAAAATGAGGAGAGGGAGGAGATATGGGTTCTGAGACCACCAGGTTGATGGAATCTGGGCGAGGCTTGTTAAGCAGCAGTGGGCGGAGCCCGTGTTGTAGTAGGCTGAGCCATGGCAGTGCTCGGGAACAGTGCGTTTGGATGATGGCAGCAGAGGGGGTGGGAAGGGCTCGGGTGGGGCACACCTGGTGCTCTCATGGTGGGAGCACAGCCCCCTGGCTGGCTTGTCTGTCGTGCTGCCAGGTGGCGGACAGCGAAGTGAAGGCGGGGACCCTGCAGCTGACGGTGGAGCGGCTGAGCGGGGCCCTGGCCAAGGTGGAGGAGAGCCAGGGGGCCCTGCGGGACAAGGTGCGGAGCCTGACGGACGCCCTGGCCCAGAGCAGCGCCAGCCTCACCAGCACCCAGGACAAGAACCTGCAGCTGCAGAAGGCCCTGACTGCCTGTGAACACGACCGCCAGGCGCTCCACGTATGGGGGGGGGTCCTGAGGGAGGGCGGGCCCAGTGGAGCATCAGCCAATGAGACGAGGCTCTGGGGGCCTGCCTTATAAGAGGACAGGCCTGGGGGGGGGTGGCGACCCAGATGCAGTGTAAGCCGGGTCTCAGTGACTCCCAGCTCAGCGGATAGGCTGTGGTTCCCCTCCAGGCGAGAGGACGATGCCCGGAGGCACGGGGTGGAGGGGAGCCTTGCCTTGGGGTGCCCAGGCCTGCCTGGCACCATCAGCCCCTATCCCCCAGGAACGGCTGGACGCTGCCCGGCAGGCGTTGTCTGAGGGGCGGAAGCAGAGCAGCGCGCTGGGCGAGCAGATGCAGACGATGCGGGGCGAGCTGGCCGACCTGGAGCTGCAGCGGGCGGAGGCGGAGGGCCAGCTGCAGCAGCTGCGGGAGGTGAGGGCCAGGGTGGGTGTCTCCCCGCCCCGCCCCCAGGACAGTGAGGCCCCGGGATGGGGTCGGGACCTTCCCCCATCTCCATCTCCACCCTGGCCCAGCCTCCAGGGGGGAAGCGTGGTTCATTCAGTCCATACCCCCATCATACAGATGGGGAAACTGAGGCTAGGGTGACAGGGCTCTGATGAGGGCTTCCCTGAGGCCTGCCGAGTGAGCAGGCCCAACAGGCCAGCTTCAGATGGACACTCTGAGGCCCTGCGGGGCTAGGGCTCTACCGGCTTGTGTTGCAGGTGCTGCGACAGCGCCAGGAGGGCGAGGCCGCGGCTCTGCACTCGGTCCAGAAGCTGCAAGACGAGCGGCAGCTGCTGCAGGAGAGGCTGGGTAGCCTGCAGCGCGCGCTGGCCCAGCTGGAGGCCGAGAAGCGGGAGGTGGAGCGCTCCGCCCTGCGGCTGGAGAAGGACCGCATGGCCCTCAGGAGGACGCTGGACAAGGTGGGCTGCGGTGGGTCCCGGCTGCGTGTCCCGGGGCTCACTGCCTCTGTCGGTGTCGGGCTGTCCCCCTGGGGTTCGGAGCCCTGAGCCCCCTCAGGTCCCTCCCTTGCACCCTGATGTTCCCCCTGCTCTCCCACCCAGGTGGAGCGGGAGAAGCTTCGCAGCCATGAGGACACGGTGCGGCTGAGTGCGGAGAAGGGTCGCCTGGACCGCACGCTCACCGGGGCCGAACTGGAGCTGGCGGAGGCCCAGAGGCAGATCCAGCAGCTGGAGGTTGGCCCCGCCCACCCAGCCTGATCCCAGCTTCATGGCTGCTTGAGTGCTCAGCAGTCCCAGGCGCTCAGGGCCCTCCCGCCCCAGAGCCCCGAGCTTTAGGGGTTGTCCCAGCTGGGCCACGGAGGGTGGTCTCCCCAAGGTGTAGCCTGTTAGCATATGAGCCTGTGGGTACATGTGTGTCGTGGGCATGGAGCGGTATGAGCATCTGCCCGAGTGTTCTTGAGCATGTGGCAGGAATCTGATGTACCACGTGGTAGGCCTAGGTATTAGGAGTATGTCCTCTGTGTGTGTACAGATGTTTTGTTTTGTATTTTTGAGTCGCAGTCTCACTCTGTCGCCCAGACTGGAGTGCAGTGGCCGCTCCCGGCCACCGCAGCCTCGATCTGCTGGGCTCCGGCGATCCTTCCGCCTCAGCCTTCCCAGTAGCTGGAACTACAGGTGCGCGCTACCACGCCCGGCTT